AATGCCTCGTCCCGCAAGACACTCACCGGTATGGTGGCGTCCACAGGTAGCGCATGCTGGGGCAATCTGCTGAACTGGCTGTACGGCCTGAGATGGGGCCTGATCTCTCTGTCGGACCCTCCTACCCTGCCGGTCCCTCCCCCTCCTCTTGTTCTGACGGTGTGGCTGCTGGGGAGGAGCCAGCTGTGGTGGGGCCTACTGTGCTGGCTGCTGAGCCGGTGGCTGGTGAGCTGGCTGACGGGCGGCGCGAGTACGGATGGCCTCCAGTCGAAGACTCTCATCAATCTGCTGAGCCCTAGAAACGGTCTCAGCATAAGTCAGGGCGCCAAGGCCAGCAAGATGGTGGCGAATCTCCCCGCGAAGACCGCCCTTGAAGCGCCTTGCCCTCGTCTCCTCTGTATCAATCAGGTACGGCACGAAGAAGCCGAGGCGAGTGAAGTCTCCCTCATACTCATCGACAGTCCTAGAACCCTGCTCCAGTGCTAGGAACTGCCTCTCCATCTTCTCTCTGTAGTGGGCCGGGTAATACTTCTCCCGGAGGAGCGCCTTCAGACCAGCCCAAGTGAGGGCCAGCTTCTCCCTGGGTCGCATCTCCCAGTACGAATGCCACCAGAGACCTGCATCCCCTATCATCTGTAGCTGTGCGCACATGATCCTGTGAGGCTCGGGGCAGTCCATCACCTCAAAAATCATGTCAAGGCTGTGCAGCCACTCGTCGACAAGCCTCGGGTCTCCCTGCCCATTGAACGTCGCAGGGTGGTATCCGCGGAACTGAGAAACTGAATAGGCCTGATCGCGCACTGGCGCGGCCGGCGGGGGCGGTACTGGAATCGGGGCTCGACGAGGAGGCATCTGAATGGTCAAATGACAGGGATTAGCAGAAAGTATTGAATATTTGACGGAGAATTAATTACTCAAGAAAGTTAACAGAAGTTCCCAAAGTTAACTATCTCTGCTGAAATTCTAACTGAAGTAGTATAGCCGATTAATAAATAGCTACACTATACTTTAATAAGTTATCGGATTCCGAAAACACCTAGCTTGGCTAGAGTTTCGGGTACACTAAAATCCTCTAAGTTCTTACTAGAGTTCTGACTAGAATTCTCAAATCTTAATCGAAGGATAGATCTAACGCCCCTGAAATAATCTGAATATAATTAAATATGCATTCGCAAATAAAGGATGTACAGGTGACGTACCTCGGAGTCGGCGTGGCGTGAGCGTGGTGTGGTCATATCTTACTAAAATTTTAGTATACAGAACCACTAAGTGGCTCTGATACCAACTGTAACACCCCGCCTAAAAGTTACTAAAATCAGAGTAAATTTTTCGCGCTATAAAAGGAAAGCACTATTTAATTTTCGAAAACTCATATTATTTTTTTCTAAAATACTTTAACTTTAAAAACGCGGGATGCTACTCAACTTTAATCTTATATCTTTATCACTATAATCTATCATGCATGCGACCAAGTAAAATCATTCTAGAATTAAGGCCATGAATAATACTGGCTAAAACATGCATATTCTGAAAATATGACATCTGGAATAATAGTCTGAAATCTAACATCTGAAACACAAGTCTAACATGCGGAAGCAAGTACAAGTTCAGAAAACACACAAGCATAAAACAAACATAGATAATTCAAACATGTTCAAATACTATATGACATGTTTTCACAAAAATATCCCGAAGCTGGACCCACACCACATAACTGCTCACGCTCCACGCGGGACTCCATCACCTGAAAAATAGGGTAGTGGGGAGGCGTGAGCACAAAGAAATCAACGGTGCTCCGCCGGAACCGGCACTGAATACTCAGCACAATTAATAATAAACTATGGAATCAACATATATATGAATAAACTGGTCTGACTATGGGACTAACGGTAAACCGGTACTCATGTGCACACTCTGGGGGTCCCCTCCCAGAGAAATCCAGGAAAGGCACTAATCACCCCATCTGGACGCTAGACTTAGGACGGGCCCTATTCACACACATCCAAGTCATAACTGAAATACTGAAATAATGACCAAGACAGGATCACTCATCCGTCTCAGTCCTTCAATTTAATCGCATATAGATATCAGGCATGGTAAATTATTAAAAGCGATGAAATACACAGTACGTGGTCCCCACCTAGAAACTGGCGAATGCAAAGGCTGAAATATCTGAAATGGGTAGCTGATGGAGGCTCGACTCTCCTCAAGCTACAAAATATATTGAGCGAAATATTCTAAGTACTAGGCTCAGAATAAAACTCAAATCTTTAATATCATATATATCTAGGTTCGCTCACTCGGCTCTAAAAAATCATTTTGGGATTACGAGCTGATTTTGAAAATATTATCGTCGTGGAGCCATTCTAGAGTTTTCTGAAATATTTCTAAGTCTGGGACTAGAATTTGACTTAATCTAATTTGACTGAAATCTCAACTATATCTGAATTTTTAATCTATCTGAAATTCTTAACTTTATCTGAAATCTTAATCTGAAATATAGATCTGAAATTCTATCTCTGAAATTTTATCTGAAATATATATCTGAAATTCGATCTCTGAAATTCTATCTGAAATATATATCTGAAATTCTATCTCTGAAATTCTATCTGAAATATATATCTGAAATTCTAACTCTGAAATTCTATCTGAAAAATATATCTGAAATTCTCTACGAACCATCCGGCCTGCCCGGACTGGTTCGACTGAACTGGACCGACGGCTCACTCGAAGCCAGTCGATCATTCGCTTGACTATGTGCAGCTCGGTTTGACCGTGGTCCGGGTTCGGCGTGGCAACTCGGGCCGGCACGAACTCGACTGACACGGCTTAGCCGATGCACGGGTTGATCGGTGCCACGATCACTGACGCAGGGGCGTGCTTGGACCACGGCTAATGGAGCGACGCGTAGACGGCGAGTCGGATGGACTCGGTGCACGGGCACGCACTCGGGGGTTGACTCGGACTCGGTGCACGGGCACGCACTCGGCGGTTCGGCTCCAACGGTCGAACGAGAGGCAGTCACGGGCACGAGACGACGATACGCATTACGATATGACGGTTAAAAATTATCCAGACGATACTAGGGTTCAGACAATTATAATCGGATCCAGAAAAATACCCGGTTATCGGAACCGGATAAAACTAGGGTTTTGATTCCAGAAACTCCTAAATCAATTAAGGCCGATATTTAATATACATATTCTATGTGATTTATGATAAATCTATAATCCGCAACTGCAGCTAAAGTCTCAATCAAACTAATATTTTATTATTACGGCATTAATATCTAAAGTCTCGATTTTTATAACTAAGTCAAACAACATCCAAAAATTACGAAAATTGAAACATAACATCCTAAATATATATATAGTCCATGGGCAACAACTCAAGTCAAAAGTCAACTCCTAACTTAGTCAACTAGAAATCGCTACGACCGGTCAACTCATTTGACCAACTCGTTTACCTACCAAATCAAGTCTGAAAATTATGAAATTTAATCCTACGCCTCAAAATGACGTAACGAATTTTATAGTATTTATTTCAACATTTTATCGCATTTATTCAAAAAGTCGAACATTTTAGCTTTAAGCCCGAACATCCCGATTTATTCAAAATCGCTCAAATCTCCCAATTTATTCTTTTATATCAATTCAAATATTATGTCTAAGCCATCAAAACCGAGATTTAATAATTATACCTCAAAACGACTCGGATCGGGAGGACCGAAAATAGATCGGGTAGGGAATAAGAGGCAAAGAACAAATTGGACCGGATCTTGAGCTACTAAGTTGCTTAAAATAGATTAAAATTGCTGCTGGTCGGACGTAGACTGTAGCTGGTCGTGAACGGGAGCTGCTGAGCGGATCCAGACAAAGCTTGTGAAGTGACGTCGCCGGAAAACGAGCTGGAGTTGGTCGTGAACGGAGGCTGCGAGCCTGGTGACGTGAAGCCGCTGGAACAAGGCTGGCTGTCCTTGGATGTGACGGGAACGAGCTAGGAAAAGTGCTCATCGAAGCTGGTTCGAAGGTGAGCTCGTCTCACCGGAGAAGACGAAGAGGATGGCGGCGCGTGGCGGCGACGCGCGGGCTGGGATCGCGCGTGGGCTGCTGTGAGGACGACGTGAAGGCTCAGGCTCGCCGGAAATGGAGCAGGGCTTGAGCTGCGAGGCGGGCCTTCGAGCGTGAGCTGCGAGAATGGAGGCAGGCTGGCCGGAAAACGGACTGAGGTGGGCTGAGGAGGATGGTCGGAGCTCGGGCTGAGGAGCTGGTCGCGAGCAGGTACGACGCGGAGGAGGTCGCAGTGGCTCGAGCTTGCCGGAGAAAGAGAGATATGGTGGAGAATGGAGTCTGCTACCTCGTTTCCGATCTTTTTCCTTTTTCTTTCTTTTTTTTTTCTTAATAATAAATAAGAGCAGATTTTTTGAGCTGGGGGATTTTATTATTATTTTTTTTTTTCATGACTGCGCGGATATGTTTTGTGGTGAAGCAAAATAGCTAAGTGGGAGTATTTATAGGTACAAAGTAGCTAGGGTTTGACTTGGATATTGGGCCTAAAAATCGGGCTTAGGATTTCATTCAACCGGGCTAGCAAAAATTCTAACACTCGGGCTCGATTAATCCGGATAGTGACTAGGAATTTAAATATCCGTCTATAATAAAAATATGAGGTTTGTAGTACTAATTTCGACTTGGGCCGAAATTAAATACTACGAGGGCTCGATATTTAATATATCGCTTGGTCTTGAAAATTAATTCGACTATTCGAATTAAAGTGACCGACTAAAATAATAATTTTGGATCCGCTCAAAATCCATTGGGCTCGAATAATTAAATTATTCGGCTTCGGATCACACAAATAAAATTCCAACTTTAATAATTAAAGTCGGG